GTATAAGAGAGGAAGATGGCGAAGAGAAGAGGTAAGAGAAGAAGAAGTCGAATTAATCACCCTTCTCCTCTAACCCTATTTTTTATTTATCTCTAAAAAATTGATGATGACAAGTATACCCTTAAGTGGGCGGCCAGCTTGGCACTTACATAAAGAAAGTAAAATAAGAACAAATAACAAGCCCATTAAGTGAGGCCCATCAACATAAAATAAAAGATAAAATAAAGGATATCACATGAGAGGTTGTTAGGGCCCATTTGGCCTAGTCTCTTTACACTTGTAAATGTGTTATTGAACCTCTTTGCAATTTTAGGAAATCTTTCTAATCTTAACCACTAGTTAGAGAGAACAGAATGGAGATTCAAATGTTGAGGCAGAGAGATAAGGTATCCCTCTGCTAAACCCTAACCCTTAAGAAATGGAAACCCTAATGGATCTCACTACCCTAGGCATATAAGACTCTTTATATATGATATAAAGAGACCTCAAAATGTACAGTTCGACCAGCCCTGAAGAGTAAATTGTGGATGCACAAGAGGTGCTCAATAGACCTCATTTTGGTGTAATAGTTGCATTAAATTGAAGTAGTATGATCTACATTGGTAGTAATTGATTAGCCTCAACATCTTATGTGATTGAAGGAAGTAATATGATCTACATAGGATCAGTGATTTAAAAGGCGTGCCTAGGCACATAGCCGAGGCGCATTTTAGGTTAGGCGCCTCACCCAGGTCCTAGGCACAACACTTTCAAAAGGTGCACGCCTAGTGCTCCTAAGCGTGTGCCTGATGCGCCTTGTGCCTTGGCCCGGGCGTATGCCTTTTGAAAATTATATGCTTTTTTGCTTTTTTTGAACCTAACGACTGGGCTGGGGGCTCTGCCCCAGACCCCCGACCACACCCCTCGAGGCAAGCCCAAACAAGTCCATGTTAGGGTCTTAAATTCTTGATTCTCACACAAAAAATATTGAGTTTATAATTTTAACTGCTCTAAGAACCCCTATTTGCTAATGTTGCTCATTCATTTATCTTAATAAAATATCTTCTTAATTATAAACTCATTATTTTTTTGTGTGAGAATTAAGAATTTAAGACCCTAGCTGGACTTGTTTGGGCTTGCCTCAAGGGGTGTGGCACAAAGGCGACTTGTAGAATCAAGAATGTAATATGTTTTACATCACATTAGCTACTTGAAGTAATGCAATTGAGGAAAAAAAAAGATTGTGGGACTTACATGCTTGAAAATATTTTATATGTTTGATTTAATTTTTAAATTTTCATTTGAATTTGATTTACATGTTATGTTTGTGTATTTTAATTTTAGATAATAGGTTTTTTAAACCAATAATTTTAAAATTTAAGTTTATATTTCTTATTGATATTATGTTTAATATTTTTTTTTTTTTGGCATTTTTGAATTTTCTGACATTTTTTTTATTTTTTTAGCAATCTTTTGTATTTTTGCGTCTTGCTTCAAAAAGGTGCGCACCTCGCCTTGCGCCTTGCGCTTTTAAAACACTGCATAGGATCAACCAACCAATTTTATCAACCTACTAGCAGGAATTATTCATTCATATTATTAGAAGTCACTCATAAAATATTCACTCCAAATATTGGAAGGGGCAGATATTTGATTACATTGACATACCAGGTATATACCTCACAATTGAGCTTCATTGGTTGGTGATGTCAAATGCAAACAAATCTAAGATAAGATCAAATAATGTTATCATGTTTGAGGATTATAAGCAACAACTAGAGACTTCACCAATCATAAAGTTAGACAAAGTTCTTGTCTACACAAGCACTTATGCTGCTATGCATATATTTTGAATCTATTATCTTGATGGATATATTATCCCTTCTCTTAGGGAAACAACTCCATTTCAACCTACTCAAGCTAATCATCCTATGTTGGGCATGTCTATATCCTAATTATATATTATCTCCATGTTAGTAGAATCAACCAATAACTTTATTGGACTTTGAGGGCATAAAAAATGTCTAGCAGAAATATATCTCTATTAATGGTAATGAAACAATTGTTTTATTAGTACTTATATGAATCCCTTAATCTTCTCCTATTTGATATAATGCATCACTTGTAATGGTTATTTGAGTCTTAAATATGCATTTATGCTTCTTTAATGTTACCTAAAGTTTCAATGAAGAACTTGATGTTTTGTTACTTTGCCTAATGTTTTCCAGTTTTTCTAGATTTTTTGAAGTTTCCCCATTTTTTGCATGGTAAAATTTCCTTAAGAATTGAGATTGTGAACATTTATCATGTATTTAGGTTTTTTTTTTCATTCCCACGGATGTTGTATCCTCTTTCTTGGAAAAGAGGGGAAATATTGAGGATCATCACAATATTGACGATTTGCTTTGCTCGCATCTTCAACTTTTTTTTCTATCATTCAGTCTTAGAATTCTTTTGTATTTGCAGATTCTCACTAGCACAAAAGCGTCAACATGCTGCCTTCCTTCCAGGTATAATGCTTCACTAAGTTAATTCCTATACCACATTTTCTGAAAGATTTTGTCCACAAACAATGCCTAGGTAGCATTGATGGCAGAACATCCTTTGAACACCCATTTGTGATTATCATGTATTGGAAACACTCCTGGGCCCAGGTCCATTATGGACAGTTTGGTATGTGAGCCCAGCCCCAACATGGGCACCACATGCAACATGAATGCAAAAGCTTCCTCAGCAACACATATCACCAAGTTTTACGTTAGGAAGTCATGTCAGCCACTCAAATAAAACAAAGAATAACTAATTCTGTTATGGAGATGTTTTGCTTGTACGAGCCTATATAAGGCATCTGATAGTGGAATGAGGGTCACAAACCCTAATTGAGCTAACTTCCCCTCCTCCTCTCTCTTCTCCTCCTCCTCTCCCTCTTCTCTCCTTTTCTCTTCTTCTCTTACTCGCCATTCTTCTATTTTCTGTGCAAGAGTGAAGGTTAAGCTTCCTTCTGGAAGGTTTGGAGTTAGGTCATTCCTAACAAATCTGTATCAGAGCACCTCACCTCAGTGTGCATTCCTCATATGAGATACCTAACACTCGGTTCATTTCTATTCACGAACAGATCGATAAGATAGAATTAGATCTCCATCGGGTGGTTGTGGAACTGTGAGAGATGGAGACCCTATCTGTTGTAGCCACCTGATGTTATAGGTTGAGATAGCGATTTAGAAGCATCGAACCAAGGGAGTCATCAGAGAATGGGATCTCTCACGGGGAGGCATGTCAAGCTTGCTTTCCTGCATTCTCTGATGAGGGCTCTCTTTCCTGGATTTTTCAACCTGAAAGATACTTTGAATTACATGATACCCCTAGCCACCAGAGGGTCATTGTGGCCTCTATTTATCTTAAAGATGAAGTTATCCAGTGGTACTAATGGTACCGATGTACGCCCCCCCAAATAACTTGGGCGGATTTTACTGATGCCTTATGTGTAAGGTTTGAAACAATGGGGTTTTAGGATTCTGACGAGGAACTGTCCAAACTTAAACAAGTAGGGATTGTCTGAGACTGGGAGTACCAAGTGGCATTTGAGAGACTAGCTACCCTAGTCCATGGGTGGCCTGAGAAGGCCCCAGTGGGCTGTTTTGTAGGAGGGTTAAAGGAGGAAATCTGCCTAGAGGTAAAGGTGATGCAGCCTACCTCGTAATAACTATTGTAAGGTTGGCCATGCATGAAGAAAAGATTAGTCGAATAAGGAAGGTTCCTAGGTCCATTGGCCAGACCAGCCAAACCCCCAACCCAAAAAAAGAAATGGGATTTTGGGCTGACCGTCGGTGACTTGAAAACCTACTACAATTCACTTTAAGTGACTTACTTGGGCTTAAATGCAGGAGGAGCGCCAAGACAAGGGTCTCTATTATAATTGTGATGAGAAGTTCCTACCTGGGCATAAATGCAATGCCTAATAGGCTTACTTCAGACCGAGCTGGAAGGAGATGAGTCACTATTGGGCCCACTTAACATTGAAGAAGAATGTGGGTTGATTGGGAATCAGGCCAATGACAGCCCTGAAGTCTCTCTTTGTGTCTTGACCAGGCTAACACGCCCCAGAACCATGAGGGTAGTGGGCATAGGACAGTATTCATTCTAATTGATAGCAGGTGCACACTCAACTCCCTATCAAGTGTGCTAGCTTGCCAATTGGGCCTGGCCAAACAAGCAACTTTTTCTTTTAAGTTGGTGTGGATGGCAAATGGAAACTTCTTAGGTTGTGACAGCATGTGTAAGGGCCTCATTTTGAAGATTCCACCCTACTACTTTGAACTAGATTTACACACCTTAGATTTGTGTGGGCAAACATGGTTTTGGGGGTAGATTGGCTAAGCTAGTTGGGCCTAGTTAACCATTGACTTTGAGTGGCAAGGAAATAAGGTGCATCTTCAAGAGCTGACCAGGGGTTCCTAAACAGGTGGGCCTCCACTCCATCAAACATAGCTATGGGGAAGGGAAACCATAGTCATGCAGACAAATTCTAGTCTGGCGGGCCCGACCCTTATGTCTGATGAAGCCCACATCCATGGGCTGGGAGCCCATGAATAGCTTAAGTCCTTACTACAAGAATTTCAAGAGTTGTTCTAGGAACCAGAAAGGTTGATGTTGGAAAACGTGGGGTTACTAGTTCAGATCTGAAAATAGAATTGTATATATTCCTAGGATTGTGGAAGGACTGATTTAGACAGTTTTTTCTTTCTATTTCTTTCTTTCTATTTTTGTACTTTCTATTTTCTCTTCTTTCTATTTTTTCTTCTTTCTATTTTCTTTTCTTTCTATTTTTCTTTCTTTCTATTTATTGCA